ACATAGATCTATGCTCGATTCTATGATTTGTATTTTTTTTTTTTTAAGTTAAATTTTTTACGATGTCCTCACGAGTCCTCACTTTAAAATAAGTCCTCACCCGATCTTGTTTCTATATATATATATATATATATATTATATATATGTGTGTGTGTGTGTGTGTGTTCTAATTCTATTTTATTGGTTGATTTCACGATGGCTGAAATCTGGATTTTGGTCAAAATGTAGCTGTTATGCTACCCGATTTTTGTGAGAAAATTGTTTTATAAAACTAAATCCTAAGTATGGTAGAATTTACAACTTCAGTGTTAAACTTTGTTTTGGTGTATTTTAACGATCTGGATGATTTAGTCAAATAAACTTCAACTAAGTTTAGGACTTAAGCACACACACACACACATTTTCGGAATTGATAATACAGGACTCTTTATATGAGTTATATACTCTTCATCCACTAAGAACATGAAAACTTAGTAAAATCCCTCTGTGATATAACTATTAATTTGCAAGGAGCGTGGAACATCTTGGTATAGATCTATATAGGTTGACAGTCCTGCGTGTGGTTGCTAGCTACAACCTCCATCCGACGAGTCAAAACGGGCGTAATTGTTCATTCTCTTCTTATTTCACGACATTGATGAAACGTAAGTGTTGATCTCGGTACACCTTCAATGTGTGTTTCTGAGGCTTCCCGTCCGTAGTTCGGTTATAGGGTTATTAAAAACACCGAAAATTCAATCTAGAATGTGCATGAATAAAGTCTGAACGATTTACTCAAATGGTTAAGTGTCAAATATTTTTTTTAATAAATAAATAATTCTTTACAAAGATTTGACATGACATTCTATTTAATTATAACTTATGTTAAATAAGTTATATGTATAAACAAATATCTTTTACTCGTATGGGATTGCGAGGGTAAACATGTTGCATTTAATACTTTTATATTTCGTTGGTCTAAACATACTTTTGATTATAAAAACACACGGATTCAAAACCTGTAAAGCTCACCAACATTTTGTTGATTCATTTTAAACATATGTAGCTTCAGGGACATAGGAGCTAGAGTACACACCCTGTGTGTCATGGAATATGATAATTCCTTGTTTTGAACTGCGGGATAACCTGATAGGCCTTTATGTGTTACATGAACTTTCATTTATCTCAACTTTTTATAAGTATATCCGCCTTTTAGAGTGTCGAATTATCTAATTCCTAGTACTGAATTTATGGAAGCATGTAATATTGTTGTAAACTGTTGTATTATTCAATATGTGTTGTTAACTGTGATCTAACGTTTACGTTGCAACCCTGGTGTAACATCCCGGTATTCAGGTACTTCAAAATTCATCCTTATGGTTTAATTCATGTCATTTTGGTCCCTATAATAGAAGGAAGTAGCATGAGAATCCCTAGTGGCAATTTTGTAATTTTGGGACACGAGGAGTACACTAAGCGTACATGAGGGTACGCTGAGCATACTAGGGCGCGCCCTAGTACGCTTAGCGTACACTTATATACGTTGGGTGTACTTATGTCTGGAGGAAACCCTAAGTTTTAGGGTTTGAGGGGTATTTAAACATCCTTATGGCTCATTTATTCCCACCTTTTCAGCCTCCAAAGGCTTAGAGTCGTTCTTGCAAAACCCTATCCCCTTAGAGTGTGATTTGATCCTTAAAGTGTGTTCTTGGTGTATTAGAGGAAGGAGAAGTTGCATCAAGAAGCCTTGAAGTGAAAGCAAGCTTGTGGATCTGGGATCTTTGCCCTTTTGTGAAGCTCCAAAAGGTATAAAGTTTATACCTTTATGTTTTGGTTGTTAGATCCCATATTTGGAAGTTTTATGTTTCTTTTCTTATCCCAAAGGTCCCATTCTATGCATGTTTGGTTATTGATGTTTTGAACTGTCCTTTCAGACCCTAAGAAAGGTCCTAAGCCATACAAATAAGGTCCCAATGGCTAGAATTGTCTCATACATCTTGTAGAGGGTCTTAATGGATTAAGACCTTGTATTAAGGACTTTATGGAAGTGCAAAGTCATAAAGTTAGAGACTTTATGATTTTAGGGTTCATTTGGACCGTAAATCTGAAGTATAGGCGTAAGTGCTTAATCCATTAAGCACTTAATGAGGATTTGAGGTCTACAAGGTTACGCCCAGCGTAGGTGGGAGTACGCCCCACATACTCGGTCAGCCACCCCGTAAGCTGGTTAATGCGAGACTTCGCGTACGCTTAGCATACCTCCAAGTTACGCCTTGTGTACTTGCATTAGTCAGCCCTTGTTGAGTTTACTCGGTTGGGTTGACTCTGTTGGTTTAGTGGGCTTGACCATTTGACTTTGACCAGTTGACTTTGAGTTTGACCAAGTTTGGCTTTGAGGGCATTTTACGTATTTCAGGTTTTTGATGGAATTAGTAAATTGGTGGATGTAGGTATTGAGTAAAGAGATGGGATTTTGAGTCTAGCCTTATCAGTTCTGTCCAGTTTGTGAGGTGAGTTTTCCTTGCTATACTTATGGGTCACAGGCACCAAGTCTGGCCCTTTGGATTGTTATCATGATTATCGTATGACTGAGTATTGTAGTGATCCGTTAGATATGTATCCTGGTAGATAGGATGATGTTATGCTTAGTTATCTATAAGATATGTCTGTTTGTTATTGGCTGGTTAATTGTATGATTATCTATTTTATGTGTGTCGACACGGTGTATGTGTGGTTGGGTTGAGGTGGTCCTACTTTGTGTTGAAGGCCAATAGACCCAAGGCGTCCCGGATAGACTGGTTGCTAGTGGGGAGTACCAGTCATACCGAAGGCCCGGAAAACGGTCCAGATAGGTTGAAGGTCAGGTGTAGTGTACCAGTCATACTGAAGGTTCTGTGAGCGTACCTGGTAGACTGCAGGCCGATGGGGCGTACCAGTCAGACTGAAGGCTCTGTATGCATGTTGTTTATTGTTATTATGTTGGTTTTGTGTTGCATTGGTATTTTGGGGGAACTCACTAAGCTTCGGGCTTACAATTTTGAGTTATGTTTCAGGTACCTCATATGATCGCGGGAAGGCAAAGGCGTGATCGAACACCTCCTCGTATTTTGTTTCATGATTTTGGGAAAACTCTGATAATAGACATGTTTTGAAAACTATTGTGTAAACAATGATGGTTTGTGGAATTTTTTGAAAAGTTTAAAATTTTTATGATTTTTATGGATGTTACACCAGGCATTTCCATCGTCGGTTGGGGTGTGACAATTGATTAGGAACATTCCTAATCAAAAGCATAAAAACCATAAGCATAAATAAGGAAAACATCAATAAATAAAGAAGATATTTATATATACTGGTAACAACATCCGATGCTGCCTTGGCCTACTCATCCATCAACTATAACACTCGGCTCCTCACTACAGGG